CATCTCAGAAATGACTCTACTTGGTCATGATATGCAGTTCTTGTATTGTGCTATTGAAGTCAGTTTTCTAGAATTTGGATGAGGATATTTTTATTTCTGCTCAACAGGGATACTGTTCTTTTATTTTCTTTTAGTGTCTTTCTCTGCTCTGATATTAGGGAAATGCTTGCTTTATGAAATGAATTTGGAAGTATTGGTTACTCTTCATTTGGGGGAAGAATTTGAGAAGGTTTGGTGCTAATTCTTCAAACATTTGGTAGAATTCACCAGCCAAGTCATCTGCTCCTGCTGTTTTGTTTTTGTAGTGATTGAGTCTTAATCATACATTTCAAGGAATTTTTCCATTTGTTTAGGTTGCTGGCATATTTTTTGGTGTGTAATTGTTTGTAATGTAGTCTCTTGTTTATAATGTGATCCTCTTATTGGTAACTCTTATGTCTCCTTTTTCACCTGGTTTTGAGTCTTCTCTTTATCTTAGTCTAACTAAAGGTTTGTCAGTTCTGTGTTTTCAGAAAATCAAGTCTTTTATTAATACTCCTAATCTGTAGTATTTTCTTTCTTTTAACTTTTCTAGTTTATTTTGGTGTAAAATTAGATTAAGATTTTTCAGTTTTTCTTAATGTGTTTACAGCTATAAATGTTGCTCTTAGTGCTAATTTTGATGCCTGTAATTTTGTTCTTTGTTTTCGTTTTTTTCTTTTTTTGTATGGTTTTTGGCAAATGTTTATTCTTAAATATACAATAGGCTCTGAGATACTTCATTTTAGATACTGGTGGTAATGGTGTTTGAGCAAGGAATCCAGATGTTTGAACAGGAATGGTACAAGGATTTGGTCAAGATTTTTTAATTCCACCCATGCCAAGGGCCATCCTTTCTCAGTGTTCACTTTTGGTTCCTCAAGTTTCTGACTCTCTTTCTGTTTCAGTTCTAATGCCTTATCCAGCTTCTTGGGCTGCTGCAGGGACTTCTTCCAGCTTTGTTATTTAGACTTGGAGCCTTCTGTCTCGCGCCTCCCAGACTTTACCATAGAAAGCCTGTATAAATTTTAGTTTACTGTGTTTTTGTTTTCATTTGTCTCTAGACATTTTAAAATTTCTAAATTTCCCTCTTGATTTCTTCATTAATTTTTGGAAGTGTGTTAACTTCCACATATTTTTTAATTTTCTGGTTACCCTTCTGGTCTTGATTTTTGACTTCATTCCATCATGGTTGGACAAAATACATGGTATGATTTCTGTCTTACTAAATTTGTTAATAATTGCTACATCACCCAACACATTATTTGTCCTAAAGGTGATATGTTGAGAAGAATGTATATTCTGCTGCTGTTGGCTGTGTATGTCTGCTAGATCCTTTTGGTCTATGGTATTGTTCAAGTTCTCTTTCCTTTTGTGTGGAATATTTTGCCCGTTATTGAAAGTGAGGTGTGTCAAGTCTTTTGCTATTATTATACTGCTGGGTATTTCTTCCTTTATTTGT